TGTAATAAAGGAAAGGGCAAATATGTAATAAGTGAGGAGCCCTTATTCTATTAAATGACTCATCACCCTCACAATTGGGGGATGCTAATTCTTAGGCCTTAAGCTCTCATCCTCTCACATCCTCTCTCACATTACAAAGGTTCTCTCTCCCTCAGAAATACATAATCAGTGTGGACATAGCCCAAACCTTGGGGTGAACCACGATACATCTTGTGTTATTTACATTTCATGCAAGTTCACGGTCGGATTTGCGTTGTTCCAAGACCTCCGGTTTTATGCATCAACAAAGTTAGGTTTAATTAAGCCGTCTGTATTGTCAAACTATGAATATTTTTCTTTTTGTCACAAAGAAAAAGATATTGCTATATAATTCCTCAATCATTTTTTGATATAATGCTAATTACGTTTCACACCTTTAAGTTTGTTTTAGTTTTTTAAATGGGCCACAAAGTTTTAAATTTTTTTATATTACATCATAAGGTATTGAAATAGTATGAAGTTATGCTTTCGACGTAATTGATTGTTAGTCCTAATTGATTGTTTGATCTTGCATAAAATTGATGATGTGATTGTCATGTAAGCCACGCTTTTTGAATAAAAGTTCATCAATTAAATGGTGTATTAAAGTTTATACAATTTTAGGATGCTTGAACGTTGTAGACTATATATAGCCTTTTATATTTACTGATTGATGAATGAACTTTGCATAAGACACTTTATTGCAGTAAAGGAAAGCAATGATGCCGACGTATCCTGGTGTGGGTCAATCCTACTGATCTCTCTTTTTCTCTTAACAACTAACAATTTAACCCATAAAAGCTACCTTTTATAAATAAAAAAAATAATAATAAAAAAAAAAAACAATTGATAAATGAACTTTTGTATCTATTTTCATGACCTAACTCTGGTGTGTAGATTCGATCCCCAATATTTGTCTTTTAGTGTTGGCAAGTGTTTGTTCTTTTTTAAATGCCAACTCGAACCCTAATCCAATAACCTAAGCATTAAAATAAATAAAGATTTCTAAATGCTTGGGCGGCTGCATATTCCAATGAACTGATTGACCAGAAAACTTGTATAACAATCATGGTCTTCAAGTTTGCGCGTTGTACGGTGTCCCATAATCTTTGGATTACTTGGAGTGTTCGCCTGCATGATTAAACTGAATAATAAATCATACATTATGAAACAAATCGGGATTGCTTATTTATATATGTTGAATTAATCAAAATGTTTGAGTGGCGACATATGCACATCTTGTTGATTGAGTCTAATTATTTCTCAACTTGGTATTAGTCGAACAAAAAATGTAAGCTTCAACGCAATCTTATATTCGACTGTCAACATATGACATCAAAGACAATCGGATTAGATCAGTTTAAAATGAGTGCGACTATTGATCTAGCTAATCAACCATAGATTTTGTCCTCTTAAAAATTATTATGAAAATCTGAACCAACTTAACTTAAAATGATATAAGATGCATCCTAATCTCAAACAGGAATGAGAACATACATTCGTATTGAACAGAGCGCTCCACGCCTTAGTGGGTGAGATTTGACGGCTGCTAGTACTGGTATTCCTAAATTTGTTCTTTCTTCCACATTTTGATCACTTGATTTATCAGCATAACAATTTAAGCAACTAACTGGTTAGGCAGTGATAAGGTCTTCCATTGGACGTGAATTCCATTTAGTGTATCTTTCATCCGGTCTACTTATAATCGAATTTTATCCTTCACAACTATATGGTCCAAATCCATTTGATTTGGAAATTCAATCCAAAAGAGAGTTAGCCAAGTTTGGGTTTTCATTATTTTAGTGTTTGGTATATTCTCATATAATGATGGAACAAGTGAACAACCAAGTGCTTTCACTTTCACGTTACAAAATTGTTAGTGATGGTTATCTATTTGTTGTACTTAAGAATTACATGCTCCCATATTACATAATAAAATGTTAACATGTGTTAAATTTAGTAGACTTGTGAGATCCATATTTTCTGTATTATTTAGAGATTAGCACTATGTGTGCTGCTTAGAGATGACTAAGCTATGTGCTGAGCTTGCTGGCCGATTAAGTTAGGAGGTGTCAATAAAGTTACATGCAAATGGGATATGTAGGTGAGTCATAGCATGAGCTGTGGATATCACGTAAACATTCATCCACATTGAGATGACAGGTGTGCTTGCTACCGATTCATCCATTAGGATGGTTTGTTTGCCGTTATTCTTGTACTACAAATAGGAGCAAATGCTCCTGTTTAATATCGTGCAGAGGGCTAGTTTGCATGCAAGCTAAGGTCTGATGTTCATATATATGTTAGAGAGGGATTAGGAAAGAAAAGAGTGGAAGAAATACATGGTGTTAGGAGTGATCAAAAAGTTGCTTAACTACGTGGAGTTTAACTATTGCGGTAGTAACGTGGATCTTCGTTTTAGTTTTATGGAATTGATGTAGGGGTTTCTTGGGGAACTTATCACTATTGGGGTATTTGTCTTGTTTAAGCTTTGTGAAATATGTGTTATACTTGATCTATCTCAACAATTGATGTAAGTGTGTATTTTGGAATATGATATTCATATTTCTAATATTGATAATGTTGATTATATGCATATGTCATTGCATATTGGAGTGGATGGACTTTATTGTAATATTTGAGTGGTTATGAAAATGGAATTATATTTGGTGTGGTTGAGTTTGACTCTTGTAGGGACCAGCAAGGGTGGTAGAAGTGAAATTATAGGAATGATACAAAGTAGTGGAGACCCTGGCAACCTAGAGGAGAACAAGATGACAAACAAAATGGGAATTTTGGGATGATTGAGTTATGGGGGTTAGTTTAAATAATAGAGCATTCAGGTCACCGCTGAAGTGGTAAAATGCATGGTATGAGACATGCAGGTCCGCGTGTTTTATTATAAATTAACGGGCTGAGTAATTGAAGTTAAGTTGCATTCATGAAATATAATGTGTTTGATAACATGTTAAAATTGATTACGTGTTGCATGACACTTAGTTTAGCGTTGACAATTATCCTTGATAAGAGTTATGTTCCTATTGAGTTGTGGTTTTGCTCACACTATTTTAGACCTTGCAGGCTTGGTACAAGACTGGTCCAATCCAATAATCTAAGTAGCAAACCAGAAGAAAATTTGTAGTTGAATAGGCAGAAAAATTCCTGATTTGAATTTTTTGTGAAATCCGATTCGACCCTTATTTCTTTCTTTCTTCATATTGTAAAGGAAAGCAAAGCTTCTTTTATGTAAGATATAGCTTTTATTCAATTAGGGCTCAAGATTAACAGAGGGTAGAAGAGCTGAGGTTGTGTTAGACAAGGGATTTTAAGAGTTTTTATTATATTTGTAACGGATTTTGGAGCTATTTGTATAAGAGAAGTTAGTTTTTCGGTTTTTCTTTTCTTTTTTACTCACGTGCCAAGCACGAGATCGTATTTTCCCACCAACCCTGAGTCCAAAGTGTGACAAGACTTGACAACTAAAGGAGTGTTGAGAGTTTCATACACTGAAGATGGAAGTCTTGAAGTGCTTAAAAAATCATTACTTACTCTACCGACAAGTAAATGATTTTATGTTAGAACTCATATTGGAATACACATTTCAATTGAGCAAAAACTTCTTGTCGATTTGGTTCAACATCATCTAATCCCTCGTTCCTATGTTTTCAGGTTAAAAACTCCAGATTGTTCACGACTCTTCTATCAATTTGTTATTGAAGATTCAAAATGCACCACTTAAATTTGAGAAATACTAGCAACTTTCTCACTTATTTTTTCACTTAAATTCTCTCATTTCTTTAATGTCACGTGTGCTCCATTAGCATCCAAAGCTTTAATTTTAATTATATTAAAAATTCTACAATTTTTCTTCCTCTGTTAGTATAATTAAAATTTTAGTTTTTCAATAAACAAAATAATTAGCCTTTTAGTTTGCGTGCTAGTAGAATATACTTGACATAAGTTGAAGTGAAAATGTTGAATAAGAAAGAAAGTGAAAAGGTTGCTAACATTCACCGTCTGGAAATAATTTCCGTAAAGGGATATGATCTTTTAATCTTTATGTATTAATCGTAAAAGTGTTAAAAATATCAACCATTCAAACTACTAATGCGTATAATTTCATAGGCTTTTGTTAATCGTTTATGTAGCATGTGTGGAGCTTACGTTTTGTATTTGAGGATACTAATGTGAGAAAATTAGAACGTCTATCCCTTTATTGGAAAGTAGAACTACACATCAAAGTGTATATGCAATTGAGTAATACTACGTAAGAGTAAATTGTAACAATGATCCATTAACTTTAACTCAATTTGGTAATGGTCCCTCAACTAAAAATCCATTACCATTGGTCCCTGAACTTATCAAAACGTGCAGAAAAATTCATTACCACTAGTCCTCAACTTTAGAAATAGTCTATCAACCTTAATCCAACTGGAGAAATAGTCCATCAACCTTAATCCAACTGGAGAAATAGTCCTTTAACTTTGACAAAATTTTGACAAAGTTGACGAAAATGACCATAGTTACACATTTTGATGAGTTGAGGGACCAATGGTAATGAATTTTAGTTGAAAGACCATTGCTTCAATTTGATTAAAGTTGATGGACAATTGTTGCAATTTATTCTACTACGTAAACCAATTTTTTAGATTAAATTTACAAATAATATAATGTGTCACTATTAGAAAATAAGTATATTAATCAATACTTAAGTAATAACATAATCATCAATAATCACGTCAAAAATATAATTTAAATGTTGATGTTCCTACTATTATCTTTTGCAATTAGGTCTACTGGTAAACGACGTGAATGTTGCATCCTATTAAACGGACAACGTGAAACTAAGCGTCGTTTTGCCTTCTCACCGACTGGGGCCTGTTGGGCCATTTCGTCCACCGAGAAAATTCTTTATAGCCGTTAGAAAGAAAGAGCTTCCCTTCCATTTAAACCGACGGCTCAGATTCACTCGATTCAAACTTGAATGCGATCAAAACACTACCCCTCACAAATCCCTCCGGTCCCATAAACGAACGGTCTCTTTCTCTCTCTCTAGCTCTCCGAGATCTTCGCCTAAAATTCACAACCCCCCTCTCTCTCTCTTCAATTATTTCTTGTTTTTTATTTAATTTCTTGTTAAATCGTGGAGCGAGAGGTGTCAAATGGTGGGAATATTGCCCCAAAACTACAGAGACTTCGTTCCAAATCACGACTCCAAGCCCTCTTCAACCTCTGAAGCAGGTTCTTGTTTTTGTTTTATTTTATTCAATTTGCCCACTTTTTAATTGTTTGAATTACAAGAAAATGTTGAATTTGAGGTTTGGATTCGATTATTACAGCTTCTTATAGTTTTAATTTTGTTTTCCGGCACAAGAAAATGTAGAATCGGGGAATTTTCTGATTCGATTTCATCCCTCTTTGTCTGCAGAGTTAAAACTGAAAACCCTAGAGCGATTACAACAAAGTTGGAACAGTGACGTGAGCGACAAAGGTGGGTAATTTCTGCAATTCTTGGTTTTTTAATCTTTAATTTTCTAAAAGAAATTGGGAAACTTTTCAACTAAACTGTTGCGTTGTGTATTTCAATTGAGTAGTTGAGTTGTAAGAAAATGGAAAACTTTTGGGGGGTCGTTGAAGTCATTCTCTGATTATATCATTATTTTCAGAATGTACTCCAGATATTGCTACCAAACTTGTCGAGTGAGATTCTGATTTGATTGGTGAGAGTAGCACGTCGAACGGAACTCAGAAAGTGATTGGTGAGATTCTGATTCTGATTTGTTAACGTCGCTTTGAGGAAAGCTCAGAAAGTGATTGGAAGCATTTGTATATTCTTTCTGTTTTTAATCTTTCGACAAATTCACTAAACGTTTTTGGTTTTGTTCTCATGCTTTAGGATTTGAAGAGAGAGCATACTGCCTTGTCTGATGAATTTCTTACCGGACCCTGCAGTTCTAAACACCATTCAGTTGCTAAGTGAGCCTTTTGTTTTAATCACTCACAATTATTTTCTAACTTCCCTTCTCTCTTTGATTGTAATTTGTTGTTTCTGGATATCCAAATCCATAAGCTTCATCGGAATTGCCCTGGTATGCTTTCTGTAAACTCACTTTATAACTGCTGTTTGTTGTGACTGTGCTCTGAGTGAAATTTGGAGTTAACTGCTAGACAAACAAGATTAAGAATGATTTTAGAGACCTAGCAATTCAATGAAAGACTAGGAACCCATATCTGCTTGGACTGTCCTCTGAGTGAAATTCGATTGCTTTGAACTGCTTAAATTTTCTGCAATATGATAGTCTTAGAACTGCTGTGGTTGATGTCAATGAATGAATCTGCTGCTGGATGTAGGATCCAGTTTTTTCTTTATTTGCCTTGCACGTCTTGATTGCAACCTGCAAAAGCCCAAAGTTTTTCAATCAATAATCTGTTTTTATCAACTCAGTTTTTCATAATATAAGTTTTTTTTTTTTTTTTTTTTTTTTTTTTTTGGTAAATTGGAAATGCAATATCCGGGCAAAGATGCCAAAAGATTATAAGAATGCCTACAACGAGGCAAACAAGCACAAACACCAGCTACAGAAATAGTAGTACAAGAAGGTAGAAAGAAAATCATGACGCCAAGAAATCCCATCTTTACACAAAACATGAACCAAGGAAGATGGGGTTCTATCGACCCAGATTAAGTCACATGCTTCCAAACAATGCTACGATGCCAAGAAATCCGCAGCCGAGTTGGCCAGTCTTAAGATCCAAGACCAACGACAATCTTGGAAGACCAGTCGCAAATTGGAACACTTCCTAAGAATGGGAAAAGCATCCTAACTACCATTCCTTGCCAAATCTCTAAGGCAAGAAATTGATTCGAGTGAGTCCGATTCCACAATTATCGAGTCCCGCCCTCTACTAGCCCCTAGCTTGCACCCATGCAAAATAGCTAAAGCCTTCGCCATTGCAACACCATTAGCCTTTATACAATACCTACAAGCTGCCAGGAAACGACCCTCCTCATTCCTTGCCACCACCCCCGTGAAACCCATCCCATCACTTGCCACCCAACTTGCGTCAACATTAATCTTAATAGCGCCCGGAGTCGGTGGGGACCATTGGACTACATTATCCTCACTCTACGCCTGGTGCTGGAATAGATTCTTTAAAAGCCGAGACAGAGAGGGAAATAGCAACTAAAACCCTCCTTGGGTTGAGAATCAGATTGTTGAACAGGAAGTCATATCTTGATTTCCAAATATGCCAGCAAGTAAAAGCTATGTAAGATAAGAGCATAATATGTACCTCATTTGACCCAATAGTCGATTTAAACATCTGAAGAAGCCAATCTACCCAGTTTGAATCCTGCAGCCGATTCGCTCTAATATTCAACGTACCTCCGAACCAAACACCATCTATCCAAGGGCATTTAAGAAACATATGTTCTATTGACTCATCATGTGACTTACAAATGGGGCACAACAGAGAAGGAGAGGATTGGCGTTGATATAAGTTTGCCATAGTAACAATAGCCTCATGCATAGTTCTCCACATGAAGTTTCTAATTTTCAGCGGTGCCTCCAGCTTCCAAATGATCTTCCATAAAGCACCGAGGCAATTGGTCGTCATGATAGGTGAAGGGATCTTTCCAGTATTATGATTCAAGTTCCAATAATAACTAGATTTGATGGAATAGGACCCCTTCTTCTTATAGGGCCATACCAGCCTGTCTCTAAGCGCCAGGTCACCATTTTGTGTCCCTAAGATAGCCTCAAAATCCACCTTCGCCAAGAACGGCTTTAAGAAATCAATGTCCCATTCCCCACTGTCCTGGCAAATTAAGGACTTCACCATTAGATTTTTTGATATCGGCACCGTCCCCAAAGGGGCAGGTCTACCTAGGGGGAATAGAAGGGAGCCACCTATCCACCCAGACCCAAGTATCATTACCATCCATAATCTGCCAGTGAGCCCCGTCGCCCATGATCTCCCTTCCAACAAGGAGGCTAAACCAAATCTAAGATGTTCTCCCACCCCGTTTAGCCTCGAGGAAAGAGGAATTCGGAAAGTACCGGGCCTTAAGCACCAATGCCCATATAGAGTTTGGCTCCACAATCAACCTCTAACACTGCTTGGCTAAGAGGGCATCATTGTACATCGAAAAGCTTCTCAAACCAAGACCTCCTTCCTCCTTTGAGCGTCCTAGTCTCGCGAGAAACCCAGTGTATCTAGTTTTCACCCTGTTTTTGTCCCCATTAAAACTTCAAAATCATGGCATCCATTTTGTTACAAAAAGATGTGGGAAACTTAAACAAAGTAGACTTTTTCCAACCTTTAAGCTTTCTAGTAGCCCCCATTTTACATAGGCAAGATCGACTTTCTTTGATCGGCCCCATATAGCCGGAACCCTAAGGTAAATTCTCGGATCCCGACCTTCTCCATACCGAGAATGTTCCCCAGATGTTGTGTGACCTTCACAAGCACATTGGAGCCGAAGCATACATTGGATTTCGACTTATTGACTTGTTGTCAGAAGCCGCACAAAAGTCATCAATCAACTGAATAAGGTGCCTACAATTCATTTCCTCCGCCTCGAGAAAGATGAGAGTATCATCTGCAAAAAGAATGTGGGAAATATTTGGACCCGACAGATTCATCTGCACCCCCCCTTATCCTTTTTTTATCGCAAACCTGTTGAATGAGGAGCAATAAGACTTCATTGACCAAGTGGAAAAGGTAAGGGGATAATGGGTCACCTTGCTTAAGACCACGAGATGGCGCGAACTTTGAACCCAGGTGACCATTGAGCAAGATGGCAAAGTTCACCAAAGAAATACAGCCCATTATCAACTTTCTCCAACTGTTATTGAAGCCCAATTTCTCTGTAACTGCCATTAAAAAATCCCATTCCACTCTATCGTAGGCCTTGTGCATATCTAACTTGATTCCCAACTCAAATTTGCATTTCGCTTTTCTCATTTTTAGGAAGTGGAAGAGCTCATGCGCAATACCAATATTATCTTGAATTTGCCTACCTATTACGAAAGCATTTTGGGTAGGAAAGATCAAGTCCGGCTGCTTGAGGCGGTTGGCCAACACCTTGGAAAACACCTGATAAGAATAATTGCATAAACTAATGAGGCGAAATTGTGACACAGACACTGGATTTTGAACCTTTGGAATCAACACCAAGTTAGTAGCATTGATGTGCTGAGGGTTTTCAGTTCTATGCATCAATTCCTTAATTATTTCATTCACATCCGCTGTAATAATCTCCCAATGAGCCTGGTAGAAAATGCCAGGAAAATTGTCAGGGCCTGGGGCCTTCAAACTCCCCATCTGCATAACAGCAATTTTTTACCTCTTCACTCGAAACCAATTTCGAAAAAGCAGCGTTCTTCTCATCATAAACCCTTGGGATAACACAGTCTAAAATCTCACCCCATTCCCGATGTCCCTACAATGTGAATAATTCCATGAAGTACTCATTAAACATGCGCCGAACCTACCTTTGGTTCTCAACCCAATTACCACTACTATTTTTAAGGAGACCGCCTTATTTCTTCTTCTTTTGTGCATAGTAGATTGATGAAAAAAATTTCCTATTAGCGTCTCTCCTTAAGCCACTGAACCCTCGATCTCTGCTGCCAGTAGCACTCTTCCTGGCTCCATAAAAAATCCACTTCTTTGGATAAAGCTTGAATCTCCGCAGAGTTCCTACCCAAGTTTTGTTGAAGCCGACCCAATTGACCCATCATATCTTTGATCTACCATATCCTTTGTTTAAATTTAACATTACACTCCATTTTGAAAGGGAATTACGGCATTCATGAATTTTTTCATTCCATCTCTGTAAAGGATTTCCCGCTCTGCTTAATTCCTATGCATATTTCACGATGTCATTACATTCACCATCCTTAGCCCAAAACGCCTCGAAGCGGAACAACTTCTTTGTCCTTTCAGACTTCGGCTCACTTTGCACCAAAACAGGATAGTGATCAGATCCCAGAGTCGTGCCATTTGTAACCGATGGGTTTAGCCATTGAGATACCATTATTCATTTACCAGACCCTTGTCTAAGCGGGCTTCCACTAATTGCCCATTTCGAGTTCCTCTCCAGGTAAACATTTAGCCAGTTGTATTGCACTTCAGCTCCCCTCAATTTCTCATGATCCCACAGGAATTCATTGAAATCGCCACCACAAATCCATATAATGCACTCCGGCCCAAATTTCTGTATCATTCCCCTCCAGAACACCTCATTTTCCGCCTTGTAAGACGTACCGTAAACCTAAACACCACCGCCGAGTCAATAAGATAGCCCCGGGCATTAATGAAATGCTTAGACGATTCAATAACCTCCACCTGTATTGAATCACCCCATCATAAGTTGAGGCCACCTGCTCTACCAATCGGAGCAACGTCAAAACCATTAAAATAACCCATCCTTCTTCTCACCCCTGTAATTCTATGATTTTTCATTTTTGTTTCCGAAAGAAAAATCATGAGGGTCTGTGTTCTTTAATTTGCCCATGTAGGGCTCGAACTACCGTGTCAGACCCTAGACCACGGTAGTTCCAGAACAGGTGTATCATGGCGCTCCTGCGGCTGTTGAAGGCCAGCCACCACCACCTTGGGAAGAAGATCCCACTATCTTGGCCCTCAAGGCATTTCTCCCATCCTCAGAGGTCTCATCCGTGTAATCTTTTTTGGTTATTCCCCTAAGCCATTCTGCTGCCCTATCTTTTTTTTCCTTTACCCTTCTCTTCTCCTCAATAGTTTTTTATTTTTTCAGAGATAAGTGGCCCACCTCCTTGGTCGATGCTTCCAACACCCTCTTGTTTGTACTTTTAGATCCTTCAGCACACGATTCTGTGTAGCCTATTTCTTCTAAATTTTCCATGCTTGAAGGTTGTACCTGGGTTGGCTGGTCGATTTAGAAGTGGATCCGTTCCTGGATCTCTTCAATCAGGACTGATTGGATTCTTCCATGCTCAGTTTGACTCTCTAAGGGCTTGAAACTTATGACCAGACGATGGAGAGCCATCAGCCCATTTCCTTCCATGATCCATTGGGCATGGTTGAAAGTCAGTCCATCCCTAGTTCTTGACATTCTACTCCACGTTTTCAAGTTTTTCCCTTTCTTTTGTTGCTACATAGTATGCATATGGTCATCCCCAACAGTTACTTCTACCTCACTCAGGTCCCCTAAGCCTTGTTTCTCTCACTGTTATTTTGAGAT